TAGTTGTGGAATGTGAAGGGCAGTATCTATAAAGCAAATAAAATTTAAATGACAGCACATATAACAAACCTGTAGTGTAAGATGCGCTATCAAGAAAACAGAAACGGTAATATCAAAGACGCTACCTCTCAAACACAAATCACAAATAATATATAGCGAGAAGAATTTTTAAACTTTGTCAGGCACGTATCCTTTAAGCAACCAATTCCACTCCTTCACCTGTTCCAGATAAAATGCCAAGCAACTTGTGGGAGAAGAAGGGGCACATTTTGCTGGAATAGTACAATTTTCTGATTAAATTAAACGATTTCAGTAGGAACGAATTACCCTCATGGTTTATTAATTATTATAAATAATACCTACAACCATTCACAGAAGAAAACTGTTGGGTTCACTCCGTTATTTCCCTTGCTTTGCGTATTCAATGCACGTGGGAAAAACAGTGAGTTGAATTTAGTCTTGAAACTATAAAAATTGTGGTGATATAAAATTAGGCATGTGTATAGCCTTTTGGTTCATCGATTTGCCATTGCCCTTCCATCTAAAATCGCGAGCGAAAACATCCAACTAATGATGAATTCCGCTCGCAGATCTCGAGCGCTCCAAAAGCTCTTCATTTGGAGCGCGCATATTCCGCTCGCAGATCTGGCTCGAGCTGGTCATCTTCCGTTTGGAGATCTCTGGCAACGCCCGCTCCACGGAGCGCCTCAAACCCCGCCGAACTTGCTTTGCGGGATTTCACAGATCTTTCTGGAAGTTGACAGAGCGGCCCACGTGATTTCCTTCTAAATCGGCAGTGCACATGCGCGGCGAGGTTGGCGAGGTCGGCGGACCGGTCGGGCCACGATCGGGTCGTCGAGTTGGATTTTTTCGGGTGCGTCGGTTGTTTACGCGGAATTCTGGCGGCTCGAACGTTTCTACCTCGCGTAGATCAGGGATACAAAGCTGGATCTGTGGAGCGTGGTAAATCGTAAGCGCTGACATCTGTGATCGTGAGAGGAATAGCAAGAAAGAGAACGACAGAAACACTGGAGGCAGACGCAAGCATTGGCCTGTTCATTCTGCAGCCAATGATTGTTTACCTTTTTACACTGCATTCCCGCGGCGTTTTCCCGTGAAATAAAGCAAGAGATTAGGCGACGACCGTGCAAGGCATGGTTTGGTACCTCTGTGTTTATTAAAGTCGTACCAGAAATCTGAACTCCACCGCTGGCAATTGCTGTCCGTGCCCCGCCGATTCGAGGTGGCCGGAAGGTATGTGACGGTGCCGAACGCGGACGTCTCCGTTATTTGTGAGATGGGCGCCGTCGTCGGTATAATTTCGCCCGGCCTGTGCTCGGGCGTTATTGCTCCAGCTAGCCAGTGACAGTTGTCACTTTTCGTCGGAAAGATCAGTCAGCTGAGGCGTTGGTGGGCTTGTCAAGTTCGAGCAGCGGCCATTTTGAACGGCGGAGGGGGAAGCCGTAGGAAGGGCTGTGGGGGAGGTCGCTCCAAAAATGCAAGCTGATTTTCCCTTAGTCGAATCGGAGTGGGTCCCACGGAGCGAAATCTCGTCATGCGAATCAGGCTTTAGCATACATACTACGGCGTCCACCCTAAAGGAATCGCCACATGTCACATTACTCACGCGAAGTTCTGCGGTGCAACGAGCCTCGGTAATTTTTCTGACGCCACTCAAGATAGTCAGACATTGCCAGGAAGGCGTAGAATCAACAATTCGAACGCGTAAAAGGGCAGGGGGACTCACATCGACGCCAACAATATCGCATTTCAGTGGTTTGTCTACGGGCGACGGCGAGCTTTTTGGTCACACCCCCATCGCGCGTGCGCGGCGCCGGTGGCGTCCGCTAGGGGCGCTCCGGTTTGTTTGTAAACATGAATTGAAGTATACAGTAACACCCGTTACCTTCGCGGCCCATATTTCTTGTTGAATTGGTCGCAAAGGACATAATCGCGGCCACTAAATATGGCAAATTTAAAGGCCGCATTGAAGCTCTTAGGGACCAAAATTTTCTCTCGCCCTTTTATTTCGCGAACTTCACAATTAGACCGGATAGAAACTCTTAGGAACCGACATTTTCCCGCTGCGTTTTATTTCGCGAAGTTCACAATTCGCGATTATAAATTGCTCGCAAACAATAAGGGGTTTACAATACTTTTGTTTGCCGCATGTTGTTAACATTTCAAGGAGGCTGAAGGTATTGGTGCAAGAAACCATTGGCCTACGTAAGACAACGCCCTTCTCTAGGTTATGTACGCGAAGTTCTTTCGCACTACCTATAAGGTGGCAGATTTGTTTTGGCAGAGCTTCTGGGTAAAACAGAGTATCACTCGGCCTATATTCGGCGTCAACTATTTTGTACTGCAATGTAAAGGCTGAAGGTTTTTTCGCAGTGCTTCAGCCCAGCACTGTTACGAGAAGATGTGGTTTAGTCAGGGTGTCTAGCAATTTATTATTTTGACATTCCCTAACTTTTCCAGGTTTTCCCTGACACTTTAAGGTGAAAATTCCTGACCACTGTAAAGGCGGTTAAATATATAGACCATTACAACACAAGGCGTTGAGCACTGTGAGGATCATTTTGCACTTTCTTGCCGCCGACATCGTCAGTGAAAAGGCCAATTTAGAAAACATGATTGAAACACGACGTTCAACCACCCACGTCCATGACAGAATGGCAGCATGGCCGCCAGATGCCCACTTTTGGATACTTTCGGCTTAAGGCTTAGATTGAATTGGGGTTCGCTACTAAATCTAGTAGCTCTAACTAGATCTAGTCTAGTGTCGCGCTCTCAATCCAATCCAATGCAGGGCTTTGACTGGATTTGTCGGCTGTTCCCTTTGCATTTGGATAGCACATTCTACATCGAATCAGCAGAGACCGTGCTCAGCTCGCATAATTTATTGCCTACTTTTCTGCCTTTAAGGGCTGGTTGCACCAATGTCGCTTATCTTAACCCAAAGCGGCTCTTTCTTAAGTCGGCTTAGCGTGCTAAACCGAGCTCGGAAAAGCACGCGTTTAAATTCCGGTTGCACCAACGTAAACCCGGCTTTACAGACGCGCTCCTAGCTAAACGCTAGATTTGCCTAGAGAATGTAGGGACAAACAGAGCGAACTAGGGAACGCCCAGAGGTACGAATACGATTGGCGGAAAGATGTAAACGTGATGTAAAAAAAAAAAAAAAAACAAAAAAAAACTGCGGTAGTAGTTGTTGTCGGTGTCTGCTTTTCGCTGTATTTCATCGGTGAGTAACAAATTAAAGGTCTTCAAATTCAATCATTTTTTCACTTAACTTTCAAAAACAGAAGTCAAAGCTTTAAATAAACACGAATGCTCTTTACATTTGTGATTGTGTGTTTAATATCAATTTATAACAGTATATTTTGACAGTGGCAGTAGTCTTCGTGCTCACATTTTGAGGTGAAGGAGCCATCGGGGGCCCCAAATCTCACCGAACGCGAGAAGGACACTGTTAAGTTTGTAGCAATCTTGCTTATTAGTTAAGGTGATTTTTGTTAGGAAAGTTTGTCTTTCCAGAGTTGCGTCGGCATTGTTTTTTTTTTTTTTTTAGCTTTCTATGTTTGTGTCGGCGGGGCCAGAGCGTCTGCGATGCGGGAGCGGTTCCCCCCGCGGTCATTAAGAGGCGTCTCGGGTTTCGGCAGCCTGCTCGGACCGGGAGCGGGACAGCCCGCGCTTGGAGAGGCTTGTAGCTTTTAGCCGAATGTGCCTGTACATAGAGGTTTTTGCCGCTTAGTATCAAATTGTCGCCTTTTACCCGTTGTAATAATTTAGCTGTTGGCGCCAGTCCGTCTGCGTAAAATGCAGGGGTTGATTCTAGAAAGAATTTGGATTTGGCCGTTGGAAGTGCTAGGCTGACAGCTTGTCGACCATTGGAGAACAGTGTACCACGTGGGAGTGGTGAAATTTGAAGGGATTGGTTGGACCCTGAGGGGAAAGGAGGCCCCTACGAGGCTACAAAAGGATCCCCGAGAGGGATTCTGGAGAATTGGCTTCGATTCGATTTTGGGAGACTGGGAACAAAAGTACGGGGTTTAATTTTTGGATTTTAACTCACTGTTGAGTTGTTTGTTTCATAATAAACGTGGCCACACTGGCCACCGTAAAGTCAACCAACGTCGCAATGTGTTCAGCGGGATCGAACAACTTTTAGTTTTTTTTTTTATTATCAACTTCCTGGGGGGCTGTCATCGGGCGAGCACCATCATCGGTCGTCACCATCCGGACCAGGACGCGCCCATCCCCATACCACCAGGTCCAGGCCATCCCCACGGAAAGTTGACTGGCGCAGTCGACAGGATCCCGCTGACTTCCTGCGACGGGTTGCGAGAAGAACGCCACAACGTCAGCTGACGGTGAGCCCCGCCAACATCTGAGTGAGAAGACGGAGGCAATAGCCTGTTGCGTTGTGTGCGGCGGACGGAGCGGCATCCCAGCGAGAGGCTCCGGGAGTCAAGGGACTCAAGAACGCCACGACGTCAGCTGATGGTGAGCCCCGTCAATATCTGCGCGAGAAGGCGGCTGCAATAGCCTGTTGCGTCGTGTGCGGCGGACGGAGCGGCATCCCAGCGAGAGGCTCCGGGAGTCATAGTACTCAAGAACACCGCGACGTCAGCTGAGGGTGAGCCCCGCCAATATCTGCGTGAGAAGACGGCGGCAATAGCCTGCTGCGTTGTGTGCGGCGGACGGAGCGACATCCAAGTGAGAGGCTCCGGGAGTCAAAGGACTCAAGAACACCACGACGTCAGCTGAAGGTGAGCCCCGCCAATATCTGCGTGAGAAGACGGCGGCAATAGCCTGCTTCGTTGTGTGCGGCGGACGGAGCGACATCCAAGCGAGAGGCTCCGGGAGTCAAGGACTCGAGACAGACGGAAGGAAACATCGCGGCGGAGCCACAGGGACGCCCCGGGAAACTGCGACGCCACGGCGAGACCCTCGTTGCCAGGTAAGACCCAGGGTTGTTTTCTCCGAGGCTCACAATGTCCGTGGTCACTAGGTCTAAAGCGAAGAGCGGCTCTTCGGGTGCAGACAGTAATGAGGACGAAAGTGGCGAAGAGTTAACTTCGGGAACAGCTGACGAGGCAGTGGGCATTGGCCCATCAGATAGGACCCTCGAAATACTGAAACTCCAACTGGAGATTGAAAGGGTAAAGCTGGCGCAGGTTCAGAGCAGGAGTGAAAGGGGTTCGAGGGACTCGACAAAAATGGGGGAGCTCGCGAAAGAACTCCGCGCCGTCCTCGCGCCGATGCCGGAGTCTGGAGCCCTCGCTCCGGCATGGTTTAAGAGCGCTGAGACGATGATGAATAGCTGTGAGACACCCGAGGAAGCGCGAGGAGCGATCATTTTGCCGTTTCTCGGAGAAAATACCAGAGCAATGGTCGCTAGTCGAGCCGGCGGTAGAGTGCTCTCTTTCATGGAGCTGCGTGAGCTGGTCCTTTCGGAGCTAAAAATGACTCCGGAAGAGTACAAGCGGATATTCTACAAAACACGCAAGGAGAGCGCGGAGTCGTGGTCTCAGTTTGCAACCCAGCTCGACATTATGTTCGGCTATTACTTAGAAAGCAGGGAGGTTGAGACAGTTGATGAACTGCGGAAATTGATAATTTCAGACCGAATGAAGCATCTCATGGCGGAGGACGCGCGCATGTATGTCCTGCGAAATGAGACTAAGGACTGGCTAAGGCCAAAGGAGCTCGCGCAGCTGGCTGAAAGGTTCGGGGAAAGTAAACGGGGGACTCGTGGAGGCCTCGAGAAACGTGAGAGCACTGGGAAACAATTTGTTCCAAAACAAGACCAGAGGTCCAGTAAGGGGACAGCTGCAGGAAGAGGAACATGGGATCGATCGAGCGCTGTCAGGTGCCATACATGTGGGAGGCAAGGACACTATCGCAACGAGTGCCCGCAGAGCAGGCCCGTCTGAGATAAAGGGCATGCCGAGGCCGGGCGGTCGGGCGCGCCGAAGCTTGCGGCGAGAGCGGCGGTGGGGCCGGTGGGTCGACCGACAGAAGCACCTGTCGCAGTTGAAGCTGACGAGGAGACAACGGGGCTGACGTGGTTGACTCTTAAAACCGGAAACGTGTCGTTCCAGGCTTTGTTATATTCGGGCGCGGACATAACGGTACTGAGGTCAAGTATTGAAACTAAACATTTGAGAGAAATCTCTCTGGTTGGGGAATACAATAATTAAAATATGGCAACCAACCAATTCCTAAACATGTAGGAGCCCTACGTTTCGAACCGACTCGGTTCTTCGTCAGGGGCGACTGTGGCCGTTGAGGAGCGGCGTTTTTCGATCTTCTTTTTCTTTTCTCAGGGATGTGGCGCATTTCTCGATCTTCTTCTTTCATGAATATGGCGAAGCCCGTTCACATACACTGTTGGTAAAGCACCAAGGCACCTATTTATGTTGCCTGGCGTCGTTTGAATATGCCAGGACTCGACGAAAAGCCTATGTCGGTTGTTAGTCTCTGCGTCGATAATGCCGGTGTTGTCGAAGTCAATCCGGTGGTCTTTGACTTCGCAGTGCTCGGCGACTGCGCTGCGCTCGTGGTCGAGCTTGCGAACGTCGTTTTTGTGTTGGCGTATTCTTTCATTGAAATTCTTTGTCTCGCCGATGTAAGTGGCTGGACAATCTGCACAAGGGATCTTATAAACCACGCCCTGCGTTTTTTCTTTCGGAGGGCGATCTTTTGGACGGGGCATGAGTAATCCAAGCGTGGACATCGGCTTGTGGGCTACGCGGATTCCTTCTTTGGCTAGCACGCGTGCAAGCGCCTCGCTTGTTCCTCTGATGTAGGGTACGCAGATGCGCGAGGTTGGGCGTGGCTGCGTACAGGCTTGTGGTTGCTGTTGTCTTTGACCTCGAGCTTGACGACGGGCAACGCGTTGGATGAAGGTGCTCGTGTATCCATTCTTTTTCAGATCAGCACGGACGGTTTTTTCTTCCTTTCTTCTGTCATCTTCAGAGGAGCATATAGCCTTCGCCCTAGACAGCAGTGTCCTAACCACCGATGCTTTGTGGCAGGCTGGGTGATAGGAATCAAACTGGAGATAACGTCCAGTGTGCGTGGGCTTCCTGTAGACTGAAAACTTCAAATTTTCTTTTTCTCTTCTCACGAGCACGTCCAAAAAAGGCAATGAATTGTCTTTTTCAAGTTCCGCTGTAAATTGGATAGCCGGTTCGATGGAGTTGAGGTGTGAGAGGAATCTGTCCACTTCAGATCTTTGAAGGATGCAGAAGCAGTCGTCCACATACCGCACAAATATCTTGGGCGCAGTGGCGGATGACTGCAGGGCCTCTTCCTCAATGGCTTCCATGCACAGGTTAGCCGTGGTAACGGAGACAGATGCGCCCATGGCGGTTCCGCTGGCTTGTTTAAAATACTCTCCCTTGACGCTAAAGTAGGTGTTGCTGAGGCAGAACTCAAGGAGGCGGCACAGTTCCTCCACACTAAGGGCGGTCCTGTTGTGCAGGTCTTTGTCTTTTTCGAGAGCCTTCCTGGCAGCTGTAACTGCCAGGGGAACCGGCACACTTGTGAAAAGTGAGATGACGTCAAAAGAGACTAGGCTTTCCTCAGTGCTCACCTTCAATTTCGAGATGCGCTCCACGAAGTCGCTGGAGTTGCTGATATAAGTCGTCGTTTTTCCGACGAGAGGAGAGAGGGTGTGGTGAAGATAGTTCGACACGGCTCGAAGTGGTGAGGTTCTAAAGTCCACAATGGGCCGGAGAGCAAGGCTAGGCTTGTGGATCTTGGGAAGGCCGTAAAAACCAGGCGCAGATCCATTCCTACAAAGGAGGTGCAGGTGGAGGCTTCTCGAGTCTGGATGTTTCTTGAAAATTTCAGTTAGGATCTTGCTCAGCGTTGCCTGGATTCGCGGTGTCGGATCCTTTTTTAGTCTTTCATAAGCAGAGGTGTCAAGCAGGTCGTGTATCTTCCGGTCGTAGACATCCCGGTCGAGGACAACGGTCGAATTGCCCTTATCTGCTGGAAGAAGCACAATCTTTTCATCATTGTGAAGCGCCCGGAGCGCACTTCCTTCTTCTCTTGAGAGATTGTGTCGTTGATGCTGCGGGATGTTTGATAAAATACCGATCACCTTCTGTCGCACCCGCTCACGATCGCTAGGATTCAGGTGCGTGATGCCGTCCTCCAGGGCTGCGACCATTTTCGGCAGAGGCGGTCTCGTGGTAGTCATGTTAAATCCGTGGCCTTTGGCTAAAACCTTGGTCTCGCAAGAAGAGAGATTCCTGGACGAGAGGTTTATGACAAACCTGGTGGTATCGGTTTCGTGTTTAGTATTTTCTCTCTCCATCAGCTTCGAGAATTTCTTACTCTGAGAAACTCTTTGCTTTTCTGCAGAGGTGGAGGCAATGCTTTCAGCAAAAGAGTGTAAGTGAGGGAGCATAGCTGGCATGCGGTGTTCTAGTTGCCTGCGGATGAAATACAGATCCAGTTCTTTTTTCTTAATGGTGGTCTGGCACTGGTGAATGCGGGCTTTGACCAAACGGTGCTCCGCTTGCTCGAAGATCTTGTGTCCCTCCGGCGTATGAACGAGCCGTTTAAGACGAAGGCTTTGGGGAACCAGGTGGTGGTCCCGGCAGGCTTTCGTAAAGTCCAGGTGTGCCTTGAACGTGGAGATACTTCGAGTGGCATTCACATACCTTTTTGAGAGTTGTACGGTCTCCTCTCCGAAGTCATCGCGTAAAGACTTGAAACTAAACATTTGAGAGAAATCTCTCTGGTTGGGGAATACAATAATTAAAATATGGCAACCAACCAATTCCTAAACATGTAGGAGCCCTACGTTTCGAACCGACTCGGTTCTTCGTCAGGGGCGACTGTGGCCGTTGAGGAGCGGCGTTTTTCGATCTTCTTTTTCTTTTCTCAGGGATGTGGCGCATTTCTCGATCTTCTTCTTTCATGAATATGGCGAAGCCCGTTCACATACACTGTTGGTAAAGCACCAAGGCACCTATTTATGTTGCCTGGCGTCGTTTGAATATGCCAGGACTCGACGAAAAGCCTATGTCGGTTGTTAGTCTCTGCGTCGATAATGCCGGTGTTGTCGAAGTCAATCCGGTGGTCTTTGACTTCGCAGTGCTCGGCGACTGCGCTGCGCTCGTGGTCGAGCTTGCGAACGTCGTTTTTGTGTTGGCGTATTCTTTCATTGAAATTCTTTGTCTCGCCGATGTAAGTGGCTGGACAATCTGCACAAGGGATCTTATAAACCACGCCCTGCGTTTTTTCTTTCGGAGGGCGATCTTTTGGACGGGGCATGAGTAATCCAAGCGTGGACATCGGCTTGTGGGCTACGCGGATTCCTTCTTTTTTTGGACGTGCTCGTGAGAAGAGAAAAAGAAAATTTGAAGTTTTCAGTCTACAGGAAGCCCACGCACACTGGACGTTATCTCCAGTTTGATTCCTATCACCCAGCCTGCCACAAAGCATCGGTGGTTAGGACACTGCTGTCTAGGGCGAAGGCTATATGCTCCTCTGAAGATGACAGAAGAAAGGAAGAAAAAACCGTCCGTGCTGATCTGAAAAAGAATGGATACACGAGCACCTTCATCCAACGCGTTGCCCGTCGTCAAGCTCGAGGTCAAAGACAACAGCAACCACAAGCCTGTACGCAGCCACGCCCAACCTCGCGCATCTGCGTACCCTACATCAGAGGAACAAGCGAGGCGCTTGCACGCGCGCTAGCCAAAGAAGGAATCCGCGTAGCCCACAAGCCGATGTCCACGCTTGGATTACTCATGCCCCGTCCAAAAGATCGCCCTCCGAAAGAAAAAACGCAGGGCGTGGTTTATAAGATCCCTTGTGCAGATTGTCCAGCCACTTACATCGGCGAGACAAAGAATTTCAATGAAAGAATACGCCAACACAAAAACGACGTTCGCAAGCTCGACCACGAGCGCAGCGCAGTCGCCGAGCACTGCGAAGTCAAAGACCACCGGATTGACTTCGACAACACCGGCATTATCGACGCAGAGACTAACAACCGACATAGGCTTTTCGTCGAGTCCTGGCATATTCAAACGACGCCAGGCAACATAAATAGGTGCCTTGGTGCTTTACCAACAGTGTATGTGAACGGGCTTCGCCATATTCATGAAAGAAGAAGATCGAGAAATGCGCCACATCCCTGAGAAAAGAAAAAGAAGATCGAAAAACGCCGCTCCTCAACGGCCACAGTCGCCCCTGACGAAGAACCGAGTCGGTTCGAAACGTAGGGCTCCTACATGTTTAGGAATTGGTTGGTTGCCATATTTTAATTATTGTATTCCCCAACCAGAGAGATTTCTCTCAAATGTTTAGTTTCAAGTCTTTACGCGATGACTTCGGAGAGGAGACCGTACAACTCTCAAAAAGGTATGTGAATGCCACTCGAAGTATCTCCACGTTCAAGGCACACCTCGACTTTACGAAAGCCTGCCGGGACCACCACCTGGTTCCCCAAAGCCTTCGTCTTAAACGGCTCGTTCATACGCCGGAGGGACACAAGATCTTCGAGCAAGCGGAGCACCGTTTGGTCAAAGCCCGCATTCACCAGTGCCAGACCACCATTAAGAAAAAAGAACTGGATCTGTATTTCATCCGCAGGCAACTAGAACACCGCATGCCAGCTATGCTCCCTCACTTACACTCTTTTGCTGAAAGCATTGCCTCCACCTCTGCAGAAAAGCAAAGAGTTTCTCAGAGTAAGAAATTCTCGAAGCTGATGGAGAGAGAAAATACTAAACACGAAACCGATACCACCAGGTTTGTCATAAACCTCTCGTCCAGGAATCTCTCTTCTTGCGAGACCAAGGTTTTAGCCAAAGGCCACGGATTTAACATGACTACCACGAGACCGCCTCTGCCGAAAATGGTCGCAGCCCTGGAGGACGGCATCGCGCACCTGAATCCTAGCGATCGT